TTTGAGTTGAAGTCTCACTCCATCGCCCAGGCTGGTGTGCAGTGGCACGCTCACACTCGCAGCCATTCCAGTGTCGACCTGCAGGGCTCAGGCGATCCTTCCACCTCAGCCATCCAAGTAGCCAAAACTACAGGCGTGCGCTACCATGCCCAGCTAAGTTTTTTATGTATTGTAGATATGAGGTCTCATGAAGTTACCCAGGCTGGTCTCGAACCTGTGGGCTCAGGCAATCCTCTCACCTCTGCCTCCCAAAGTGCTGGGATTACAGGATTGAGCCACTGTGCCTGGCCAATTATTTGATTTATTGTAGAGACGAGGTCTCACCAAGTTGCCCAGGCTGGTCTCGAACCCCTGGACTCAGGCAATCCTATTGACTTGGCCTCCCAAAGTGCCAGAATTACAGGCTTGAGCCACCGCGCCCAGCCTTCATCAGACTCTTTAACTCTGTTATCATTGGTGGGGGTGTTGGAGCTGGCAATCATTGTTAATGGGCCAGAACTAAATCACCCGCCCATAACCCCTAGGTCAGAGTTGCCTCCGAAGCTGCTGCCACTAAATATATCCCAAGCCCTGGAAATGGCATTGGAACAGAAGGAGCTAGACCAGGAACCTGGGGCAGGTAGGTGGGTCCTTAGCAGGACAGATCTCGTAGACTGAAATTGAGTGGAAGTGGCAATTAAGTGGGGGGAATGGATAGGTTCCTGACTCTGTTTCCCTTGCCCAGGACTTGAGAGTAGTCTGGTCCGGACTGGTTCCAGCTGCCAGAACCCAGGATGTGATGCTGTGAGTGAAGGTTTTGAGGGGCTCAAGCATGTGACTGAGATGCTAGACATGAGAGATGACTGGGTAGAGATACAAGATTGAGTGAGGTATACTTTAGAATGACCTGCTTCTTTTCCTGATTCTCCTTTATCCTTCTTAGGTTTACCAAGGCCCTGAGAGTGATGCTACTCCATGTACTTACCACCCAGGAGCACCTCGATTCCATGAGGGGTGAGGGAGGGGACTGTGTGCGTTATGAGTCAGGTTGCTCCCAATATTGGTCATAAGGTTGGAATGGGTTCTTGGCAAGTGAGGGAATTCAGTTAAATTATTTTCCTCAGGATGAAGTCTTGGAGCTGTTGTGGCATCCAGACCCTGGATTTTGGGGCATTCCTGGCACAGCCAGGGTGTAGAGTTGGTAGACATGACTGGGGGAAGCAGGTAAGCCCCAACTTTTGTGAACTCTTGATTAGAATCCAGTCTCAGAGATAAATTCTCCTGCCTCTCTCTACCTCATGGCCAAGTTCCCTAGCTTCTCTCTTTAGTATAGACCAAATGAGATTCTGCTCCTTATCCCCCAAGACTTTGCAATATGAGGTCGTGTTAATCTTTCTGAGATTATCTCTTCTCCACACACACCATGAGAACTCCCTTTGGGTTAAGAGTTTCTTCTTACTACCTACATTTCATGTCTTCTCTTTAGCTGCCAGCATCTTGCCGCTATGATTGGCACCAGACAGAGTCCTTAGTAGTGGTGACTGTATATGGCCAGATTCCACTTCCTGCATTCAACTGGGTGAAAGCCAGTCAAACTGAGGTGAGGAATGATCTGATGCTGGATGGGAGAATAGCAAATTGGGTGATACTACAATCTTACAGGCAGAGTTGCTGTATGTTGTTAACCTGTAGGCTCCATAGTCCCCTGAGAGGAAGCGAGAGCTATTAGGTCAGAGTTGTCTGGCTGGCCTGTGGATCACACCTCTGATCTGTTTCTCTGTCATAATAACTTGATCTGACCTTCTGGGATTGTTACTACCCCTATGATTCTTTTCTCTCAGCTTCATATCCACACTGTCTTTGATGGTAACCGTGTGTTCCAAGCACAGATGAAGCTCTGGGGGGTAAGTGAAGAGAAAGGGGCACAGGAGGGGGAGGCAGATGGGGTGAAAGAAGGGCCAGACTGGAATGAATAGAGGGTGTCTTGAGGGAAGGAGTGATAGTGGGAAAGTGGAGGTTTTCTCTTCATTTGCTTTCATATTCTCTCTTTTTCCCCCTCCTGCTCCCTCTTTTCTTGCCCTTCTCATTTCCTTCCTCTCTCTTTCTCTGCTCCTTATATTGTCTTATTCCTCCTCTGTCTTTTTTTCCCCACCGTATATTTAAAAATTTTTCTCCCTCTCATTCATTACCACTCTACCCTGACCCCAACCAACCCCTTTGGTTTCCACATTCTCTCTTCGGTGTCTCTCTATCTTTCCCTCCTCCTCAGGTCATAAACGTGGAGCAGAGCTCTGTCTCCCTGATGCCATCTCGGGTTGAAATCTCCCTGGTTAAGGCTGACCCAGGACCCTGGGCCCAGCTGGAACATCCTGATGCACTAGCTGAGAAGGCTAGGGCAGGGGTTGTCTTAGAGATGGATGAGGAAGAATCTGAGGATTCAGATGATGATCTGAGCTGGACAGAGGAGGAAGAAGAGGAGGAAGCAATGGGGGAATAGAGACATCAGACAGTTGAATGTCTAGATAGTATCTCAATGACTCCCTTAGAATCTCAGAGACCAGGATGTGGTTGGCCATGTGGTGTCATTGAGCAGCAAGAGGCTGAAGTAGGGCAAAACAAAGCTGTCCAAACCATGCTGTTTTTTCTCTTAAATAAATCTTCTGTTCTACAGTTTCACATAGTGTCATTCTCTCACCTCACAATCTAAGATTGTAATTGCTGCCCCCAGCTTCTGTGTGTATTCAACACACATGTGAAAACAAGCACATGCATATTCATAATTGCCACATTTTTACTGAGTACTTCCTGTGTCCCCAGTTATGTGTTAGGTGATTTAGAGGTATCTGAGAAACAGATGACTTACTCACTTCTCTAAAAAAAAAAATTACAGTCTGGTTGGCTGACAAGTCAATACTAATGAACATGAAATAATAATAAACATTACAGGCAGTTTAACTGTGTGCTCAATTATGCAGTACAGTTTTTAAAAGCTGAAGGAGTCAAAAGAATGAAAAGGTTAATGTGGACTATAGTAAAAAGGGAAGGCTCTATGGAAGAAGTATTTTTTTTATTGCTTCATTGAAATACAGTTCACATACTACACAATTTACCCATTTGAAGTATAAAATTCAGTGTTATTTTTAATATACTCACAGAGTTGTGTAACCACAGTCAGTTTTAGGACATCATTATCACTCCACAAAGAAACCCCATACCCATTAGTAGTCATTCTCAATTTTTCCTCAAACATACAGCCCTAGGTAACCACTAATCTTTCTCCTGTTATGAATTTGCCTATTCTGGACATTTCACATAAATGTAATCATATAATATATGGTCTTTTGTGACTGGCTTCTTTCACTTAGCATAATGTTTTCAAGATCCATCCATGTTGTATCATATATCAACACTTTATTCCTTTTTATGGCCAAATAACCTATTGTGTGGATATACCTCATTTTGTTCATCTATTCATCAGTTGAGAGACATTTGAACTGGGCGCGGTGGCTCATGCCTGTAATCCCAGCACTTTGGGAGGCAGAGACGAGGGGATTGCCTGAGCTCTCGGGTTCGAGACCAGCCTAGGTAACATGGTGAGACCTCGTCTCTACAATAAAACAAACAAACAAAAAATTAGCCAGGTGTGGTAGCACATACCTGTAGTTCCAGCTACTTGGAAGGCTGTGGCAGAAGGATAGCCTGAGCACAGCAGGTTGAGGCTGTGGTGGCCAAGAGTGTGCCACTGCCTTCCTGGGTAACAGAGTGAGACTCTGACTCCAAAAAAAAAGACATTTGGGTTGTTTCCACCTTTTGGCTATTTTAAACAATGGTGAAATAAACATTCATGTACAAGTTTTTCTATGAACATATGGTTTTGCTTTTCTTGGATATATACCTAGGAGTATAATTTCTGGGTCAAGTGGTTAACTTTAACCTTTTGAGAAACTGACAGACTTTTTCAAGTAGGCTACACCATTTTATGTTCCCACCAGCAACATAAGAGGTTCCAATTTCTCCATATTCTCACCAACACTTGTTATTAACTTTTTTTTTTTACCATAGCCATCCTAGTGGGTATGAAGTAAAATCTCAATGTGGTTTTGATTTGCCTTTCCCTAATGGTGAATGAGATGTTGAGTGTATTTTTTTTTTTTTTTTGAGTTGGAGTCTCACTCTGTCGCTCAGACTAGAGTGCAGTGGCTGCTCCCAGCCACCGCAGCCTCGACCTGCTGTGCTCCGGCGATCCTTCCTCCTCAGCCTTCCAAGTAGCCAGAATTACAGGCATGCGCTACCACACCCGGCTAATTTTTTGAGTGTATTTACACATGCTTGTTGGCCATTTATGAATCTTTTTTTTTTTTTGAGTTGGAGTCTCACTCTTTGTTGCCCAGGCTGGAGTGCAGTGGCATGCTCACGGCCACCACAGCCTTGACCTGCTGGGCTCAGGTGAACCTTCTGCCTCAGCCTTCCAAGTAGCTGGAACTACAGTCGCATGTCACCATGCCCCGCTAGTTTTTGTGATTTATTGTAGAGACAAGGTCTCACCAAGTTGCCCTGGCTGGTCTCAAAACCCCAGGCCCAGGCAATCCTCTTGCCTCGGTCTCCCAAAGTGCTGGGATTACAGGCTGAGTCACTGTGCCCAGCCCATTTATGTATCTTATTTGGAGAAATATCTGTTCAAATTCCACGTTCATTTGTTAATTGGGGTTTTTGTTTGTTTTTTAGTTGGAGTCTCACTCTGTCGCCCAGACTGGAGTGCAGTGGCACGCTCCCGGCCACCGCAGCCTTGACCTGCTGGGCTCTGGTGATCCTTCCACCTCAACCTTCCAAGTAGCTGGAACTATAGACGCGCGCTGCCATGCCCGGCTAATTTTCTTAAAAAATTTATTGTAGAGATGAGGTCTTGCCAAGTTGCCCAGGTGGGTCTTGAACCCACTGGCTCAGGCAGTTCACTCACCTCAGCCTCCCAAAGTGCAGAATTACAGGCTGAGCCACTGAGCCCGGCTAATTGGGTTGTCTTTTATTAATGAGTTGTAAGAGTTCTTTATATATTCTGGAGACAAGTGCCTTGTCAAATATATGATTTGCAAATATCTTCTCCCATTTTGTGGGTTGCCTTCCTTTGGTGTCCTTTGATACACAGTTTACTTTTGATGAAGTACAATTTTTTTCTTTGGTTGCTTATGCTTTTGATTTCATATCCAAGAAACCATCACCTAATCCAAGGTTGTGAAGATTTGCCCCTATTTTTCTTCTATGAGTTTTATAGTTTTGACTGTTACATTTAGGTCTTTGATCTACTTTGAGTTAATTTTGTGTGTGGTATGAGGTAGGGGTCCAGACTTATTCTTTTGCATATGGATGTCTAGTTGTTCAGCACTATTTATTGAAAAGACTATTGTTTGTCCATAGGTACTAGTTGAAAATTAACTAGCCATAAACATGAGGGTTAAAAGTACAGTTGAGGCCAGGCACAAATGACTCAAGACTGTAATCTTAGCACTTTGGGAGGCCACGGTAAGAGGATTGCCTAAGCCTAGGGGTTCAAGAGCAGCGTAGACAACTTGCCAAGACCTCGTCTCTACAATAAATCAAAAAATTAGTCAGCTGTGGTTACGCATGCCTATAGTTCCAGCTACTTGGAAGGCTGAGGCAGAAGGATCACCTGAGCTCAGCAGTTTGAGGCTGTGATGACTGTGAGCATGCCACTGCACTCCAACCTGGGTGACACAGTGAGACTCCAACTCAAAAAAAAAAAAAATACAGATGACCCTTGAACAATGGAGGGTTGGAACACCAACCCCACCCATGCAGTTAAAAATCTGAATATAACTTTTGACTTTCCCAATACTTAACTTATAGCCTACTGTTGACTGGAATCCTTATTGATAACATAGTTAACACATATTTTGTATGTTATATGTATTATATACTACATTCTTGCAATTTGCAATAAGGTAAGCTAGAGACAAGAAAATGTTATTAGGAAAATCAGGCCAGGCATGGTGGCCCATGCCTGTAATCCCAGCACTTTGGGAGGCCAAGGCAGGAAGATTGCTTGAGCCCTGGAGTTTAATACCAGCCTGAGCAACATAGCAAGACCTCTTCTCTACACAAAATAAAAAATTATCTAGTATAGTCGTGTCTGTAGTCCCAACTACTAGGGAAACTGAGGTGGGAGGATAGCATAAGTCCAAGAGGTTGAGGATGTAGTGAGCTGTGATTGTGCCACCACTGCACCCCAGCCTGGGCAGCAGAGTGAGACCCTGACTCAAAATGATAATACTAGGAAAAAAGAAAGAGAGAGAAAGAAAGACAGTCAGTCATAGGTTGGGCATGGTGGCTCATGCCTGTAATCCCAGCACTTGGGGAGGCAGAAGCAAGAGGATTGCCTGAGTCTAGGGGTTCGAGACCAGCCTGGGAAACTTGGCGGGACTTGGTCTCTACAATAAAGAAAAAAGCCTATCATGGTGGCACATACCTGTAGTACCAGCTACTTGGAAGGCTGAGACAGAAGGATCGCCTGAACCCAGCAGATGGAGGCTGCAGTGGCTGTGAGCATGCCACTGCACTCCAGCCTGGGTGACAAAGTGAGACTCAGACAAAAAAAAAAAAAAATTGGGCCGGG